GCCTAAAAGCACGTATGTTAGTCTAACTGGGGATTTTAACTCATTAGTGTGAGGTAGATAACGTGGTTAAAGTGCATAGAACAATGTAGTGCATGAATCTATGGTTAAATGTGATTTAGGTATGTCTGAATTGCTTTGAGCGGTCAGTATGATGGAAAAAATGTTACATAAATGTCAGTCCCTTTCCAACAGACTGATGATAATTAGCAGTCATACTGACATGTTGTCAGTGATGTAAAAAAATAGAAGAGGAAGAAACAGTGAAGGGGCATAATTAATGTTTATCTGCCCTCTTGTGGCAGTTTTTTTGAATGCAGCTTTAAAATGAAAAACAAAATTGCTAATTTAAGTGTTTGGATTTCATATTACAGCTGTATGGCACGCTATTGAACCTCACTAAAATATGTTTTCAACATTGTGACTCAACAAGAATATAGCACTCTGGAAGCTGCTGAATTGCATACAGCTTTTCAGTAACTTCTCAAATATTTGATGGCAAGGGCAACAACTTTAGACTTACAAGAAACACCCTAACGGGTCTGCAAAAGACTTATATGATTAAGGGGACGGCTGTGGAGCGTGTGAGCAGCTTCAAGTTCCTGGGAGTCCACATCTCCGAGGATCTCACCTGGACGACCAACTGCTCCAAGCTGGTCAAGAAGGCTCACCAGCGCCTCTTCTTCTTGAGGACTCTGAGGAAGAACCACCTGTCCTCAGACATCCTGGTGAACTTCTATCGCTGCACCATCGAGAGCATCCTGACCAACTGTATAACAGTCTGGTACGGGAACTGCTCTGCCTCGGACCGGAAGGCGTTGCAGAGGGTCGTGAAAACTGCCCAGCGCATCGCCGGAGCACCACTTCCTGCCATAAAAGACATCTACAGGAAGCGGTGTCTGAAAAGGGCTGGGAAAATCATCAAAGACCCCAGTCACCCATCACATGGACTCTTCACCCTCCTGCCCTCTGGGAGGCGCCACAGGAGCCTCCGGACTAAGACCACCAGGTACCGGAACAGCTTCTTCCCCACAGCTGTCAGACACCTGAACTCTGCCTCCTGACATCTGACCCACGTTAAACTCATGGACTGAACATACACACACCCACAATGGACAACTGTACCCTCAAACACAATAATAACATGGACTGAACCACCACTCACAACCACTAGCACTTTATATAGCCTCTGTAGGAATTATATCTCACTTATCTTAACTGCACTACTGTATAGCTCTGTGTAAATAATCATTCTGTACATTCGATAATCTTTAATCCTACAACTGTTTACAACTTGCATAGTTCCCATTTCTGTATAGCTGTATATCCCAGATTCTGTAAAGTTATTTATTTCATATTCTGTATAGTTTTTCATATTTATATCCTGTTCATATCCTGTACATAGCTTGTACTCACTACAGCCTGTACATACTTATAGTTATAGAATATTCACAACATACTTCATACCGTGTACATTATAACATACCATAATAGACCCATTTCTGTAATATACTCACATATCTATATTATTGCTAATATATATTGTAATATATCTATATCACTAAAGCACTTCTGGATGGATGCAAACTGCATTTCGTTGCCCTGTACCTGTGCATGTGCAATGACAATAAAGTTGAATTCTATTCTATTCTATTCTATTCTATTCTATTCTATGATCCAGACAGAGTCACAAGCCATGTCACTTCATCACCTTTGTATAACTTAATTGGTAACTACAACCAAACTCTCGATAGTCATATTGCATTGTGACAAATGACAACAAGAGTCCAAGGATTAATAATGTCGCTCTCTCTGATTCACATGTACAGACTATTATCAGGAGTTCTCATGGTTTAAAAAGATGGGCTATAATTATTCTAATATGTCATTATATTTGCCTAAAGGAAACATGTTTGAAAAAAAGAGAAAGAGCCTTAGTAAAATGTAAATGTATGTGCATCTCTTAGACCCACATCTAATATTCGAAGCCCACTTGTCAAATTATCAGTCTATTGTCACCACGCTAACAAGGCAAAATACAAATATACACCCTCGCAAGATTTTTTTTTTTTAAAGGAAAGCGATTTTCCTTTTCAAATGTCTTCACTAAAGCATAACCAACTGTTATGATGAATAAATGCAAACCACACAAAACTCTTACAGTGACAGTTAAACCGTTTTCACTGTAGGCATTTTCCCTGATACAATACTGTGTAATTGCCCCGAGGCTATGAGATAATATTTTATTCACAAAGTCAGCCTCATGTTCCCTACAGCTGCAGTGATGGAATTTGAGTGCAATCTCTTGAAATCAGAAGTCAACACACAGCCTGGTTTCCATAGTCAAATTTGCTAATATCTGATGATAACAATAGTCTGATAAATAATTATATTACACATCATATTTCTCATCTTTCCAGTCTAAACGGAGCTGACTACCAACCAAATTATTAGTCAGCAGCCAGTCTATGCTATATAGAGTCACAGAATGGATGCATTTTCCTTGCGCAGCAGGACTTTCATTATTTTAATAGATTAGTGTATGAAAATAAAACATTAAAGTATTAGAATATTCTTAGTTTGATTTCATTTGTTTTTGTATTTAACGTTTTTGGAGGTTTTAACATCCATTACAATCCTCTTCATCCTGTCTAATTTATCCTTTCTTTTCTCCTTTAATTTGCAGTGCTGTCTAATGCTGGCTGAAGATTTAATCTTGTGAAAGTAATAAAATTGTAGGAGATGATGCAAAAAAATCATTTCAGGTGCAAAAAAATCATGAACATCAAAACATACAGTAATAAAACAACTCATTCTTATCTTTTTATTTTAGGAATATATTATTTAGAGATTGTACAAAGATCACTTGACTATAATCAATATTATGATGTCCATAATAGTGCATAACCTGATTTATTTGACAGCAAATATAAACATTACCATACTTGATTATTCATAATTTCAATATATCCTATGAATATCCTGTTGATGCAGGCATGGTGATAAATTATGTTAGAGGCTGTGGGCTCTAGTGTCCATAAACTTAAATGACATACATCAAAGGGCTTATATACGACACATTAAAATCCATAAATGAGAAACATTTTGATGTTTTATCAATTATTTGTCAGATGTAAAAATACATGGTTTTTAAAATACACATTAAATACACATTAATTGATATTAAATTAAACTTTTATTCACTTAAAACATGTACTTGAATGTTGCATGTTTGCTATGGAAAATAATATTTTTTTCCATTATCCCAAGACAATATTCAAATTGTTGTTATAATTAAAGAAATTTGCCAAAAGAAAAGAATTCCACAGGGCTTAACTGCAGTACTTGATAAAGGTAGAAACCATGCTTTAATGTCAGCAGCAGGAAAAAACCTTCAAAGCTTATTTTTTTTAAATGTATTTATTTATTTATTTTTATTTATTTGTGAAGACATCAAAAATTTTGCACAACAACATAATAAAGTTGCAAAAACAAGAAAAAATCTGAATCTGAAAAGTAATTAATATTCATAAAAGTAAGAATACACATGTGGTGAAGTGCTTTAAATGCCAATGTGGAGAAAAGTACACTGTACGATAGAAATACTATATGTTAATTACAAGTACTTTTTTAAGGGTGTCCTGTCCAAGCAGAATTATGGTCTACATCCACTGTTGTGCCAAAGGACCTGGGTGTGATGGTGAAATGCAAACTGTGTACAGGACAGAAACATCTGTATTATTCTGCTAACATAACTTTGGCTCCTTTTTGCGAACATTTGCACAGACAGCATGCTAATGCAAAGCTGGCAAAAAAAAAAAAACCCAGAGTGATGTTGAAGCTGAGTGATTCCAAGCCCCAGACCTGCAACTGGACCCTGAACTTCAACAGAGGCAGTGGCATAACAGAGGAAGTGATAAGGAGTCAGGCTTGAAACACTGTTGCCTCCATTTCTGTCTTTACATGCTAAAGTAGAATCACTGTGACGATCACTTTGAATTCTCTTTGGGTTGGTTTTCAACTTTGCTTTGTGCTGTCGATTTTGTGTTCATATCTAATCACTAAAAGAGAGATCCTCATCCTCAAAGATGTGTCCTCATTAGAATATGGATTTGTGTTGGTATGTAGAACATTAGCTTATGGTATATATTGTTTACTGGAATAAAGTGAAAGTAATGTTTAGTGTATTGAATTGCTTTTTCCAGTGAGTAATTAAGAAAGTACTTGATTGCTTTTAAGAAAAGTAATGTGAAATACATACATAACAACCCCAACACTGGTCATGAAATGTACATAATGAGCAGTGAGAAGCTGAAACAATGGCCTCTGGGAACTAGATGCAGACAGAGAAAAGCCCAGGAGACCCAGGGCATCCGAAGACCCCCCAGAGCACTGAAGACATGGGGCCACACATCCTGATAATAAAAGGATGTGTGCCCAAAATGTGAAAAATCAAACATTAGCTATACATGAATGCTTATTTTCTACCTGGACTAAGCCCGATCTAGAATAAAAGTGCCTTCTCTGTAAAAGAAACCACATACATTAAAGAAATTAGAGACTCAAATTAGTAATAGTGTTAAAGAGGCTTAATTTGTAATTACCGCCTCTTCAGACTGCTACAACTTTGTTTACATACATTTGCTGCCATTTACATTTCCTGTTTTTTAACTTGTATGGTAATTTACACACAGTCCCTACCCCACTGATGCAAGTCACTTCCTCTCTCTCCCTCTCTTTCTCTCTCTTTCTCTCTCTTTCTCTCTCTTGCTCTCTTTCTCCACCCAGCTATAGACCAGGATACATGAATGCTGGGAAGGAGGACAGTAGCAGAAAGAGCAGAGAGGGAGCACCGCAGAAAGAGTAAGTGAGAAGAGGAGGTAAAAAGATAAGGCATAGTAGGGCAGAGTGTGTTGGAGGACAGCATACTGTGGCATACTATGGAGCAGTGTGGAGCAGCAGGACCAAAACAAGAAGCGGGCGCAGTGAGGACACAGCTTGGCTTTATGCCTGATCAATAAAAGGTAGATTAGTTCAGAATCTGAGCAGTTACGAAGAGAACTCATTAAGCAGCATTGCTTTACCAAGATGACTGCCTGTGGACAGCACTGAGTTTGAATTGTGCAGCTAAGGGATAAAAACATATGAAAATAAAGTCACTCAGAACCTTGAGAATCCATGAGGACATAAAAGAGAGTGCGTAAAACTAACTCATTTGGAGCCAAGACTTGCAGCAGGATCATACAAAGACTGAGGTATGTCTGTGTTTTATTCTTAAGTTGAGGGCATGTAAACATTTTGCGGCTTTTCAATAGCTTGTTTTTTCTCTGCTTGCTTTTTTATGGTGTATTAACAGGACAAGACAGTTGTCACTTATTATTAGACAGCAACTACAGACGTGGGTCACTTGACCTAGCTCAACTAACATCAGTTGACACGAGAACCAAAATAATAGTCCCTGTGGATGACTAATGTTCGTCTAGCAATTTAGACATATCTGGATAAAGGAGTTTGAGGGGTATGAAGGCCAGGAGAAAGTGAAGAAAGCCTTACCAAAATGTATTTACATGTTCTTTTTTTGTCATGAATGAATACATGCAAGCGCTAACATAGACACACACTCTGTGTTTAACTGTATAATAAAGAATTGCTGAAAAATCCACACATGATCACCCTGGTGTTGACAACTGAACTGTTGTTGCATAAATCATTAAAATGACCTCCTCTACACATGAGAAAACTTGTGTGCACGCATAGACACACACACACACACTTACACAGGCTGTCCCCTTCGTGAAATGGTGTTGCGGTTTAATGCACACAGACCTTAATTAAGGCTATAGCATTAGTGTATGGTACTCTTTTTCAAGGTGAGCTGAACGTGAAGGGTAATGGAGTGAACGCTGCCTTCTATGGCAAATACTGTAATGAAAGAAGACATTAGAGTTTACTCCAGGCGCTATGTTGAAACATTAATGTGGGTGGGATCTTTGCATTATGTTCAAAGTGCTGATATAATATACAACACTTCTCTTGTTATCAGCATTTGCACATTGTCATTGCTTTTTCCAGTCTTATTCCAAGAAAGTAAGAGCACAATCCTCACAATTCTTGACAACTCTAGTTATCCTCCTTTTTTTGCACTATTAAAGCGCTTCCTTGTCTCAGCCCAAGCTCTGTGCATTGTTTCCTGCTTACTCATGGATTTCCTTCACAGTGCCATCTAAAATGTCTCTCGCTTTAAACGTGTTCCTCTTTTACTTTTAGATGGATGTAATGATGTGGAAACGCTGACCCCCTTTTTGAATTATCAGACTTTTGAGTCGACCAGTCGAGGAATGGGGAGACGAGCAGCTGACCTGACGACTTCGGTTCCGGTTTTAGGAGTCCCTGCCTTGGTTGGCGTGCGTGGTTGGAAGGCAACAGGAGGAGACAGATCCGGAGGAGCCCTGTGGGGACTTCAGTGCAGTGTTGGTGTTCAGACATCCCCTGCGATAAGTAGACCTCCTACCCAGCTAACTGATACACTCTCAGATAACATTAGTCAAACATCCAACAGCTATATTACCAAGGAAACGGAAGACAAGGAGATACTACTAACAAAGAGTGACAAGGAGAAAAAGGCTATTCTAAAACAGAAAAGTGGCGAATCCAAGACCAAAAAGGAAGTGACTTTCAAAGCACTTGGAGGTGAGGCCTCAAAGGATGTGGCCTGCTGTCAGAGGAACAGTAGAGGGACTTATTGCTATACCAGGGCAATCAAGACAAATCCACACATTGCAGGGAATGCCAGGTCTAATTGTAAATCTGGTAACCGTTACACTAATGGCAGTGTGGTTGACTCAGAGGCAATCGGTGGGATTACCGTACACAATGATGAGGCCGAGCCTGTAAAGGGAGCAACCTGTCGTGGAGGAGACCGGACCAGATTGCAAGGTCATTATACAGATTTGTGTAGGAAGACGCTGCCATTATCTGCTGCCCGACCTTTTGGTATGCCTCAAAAAATATGCAACCACTGTGGAGGGAGACAGTCTGTAACCAACAAAGCTGTTATTATAGGGGAGAAAATTCCTACTCCCAATGCTTTCCTTAGAGGGAACTCTTTAAACTCATCCTTCACCTCACTCTCGACCTCTACGCCTTTCCAAATATCCCACACTGAAAAAAACCCTACGGCAAACCAACAACTCTCCAACAGCATTAATAATACTGACAACAGGACCCAAATTACAGTCAATCCACAATTATTATACGTTAATGAGGAACTAAGGTATCGAAAAACACCACACCCTGCATGCCCGGTCCACTCTATAGGCAATCAAGTCACTTTGTCAAATATAAATCCTGCCAGAAGTGAAACATCAATCCAACCTACAACCGTCCTACATGCTAAAACCATCACTATCACAAAAGCAACAATAGAAACCAGACAGGATGTTTCCAGTGAAAAATTTGGTGCTAAACCTCCACAGGACCATAAGCTCTCTCGTCCAACAACTCTCCCTTTGACCCCCAAGTTGGCCATAGCTACCAAGGCCAACAACCCACATTCGCACACTTACCCCAAGCGCATTAAGACAACACAACACATTTCTACACAATACAATGAATCTCAAAATGTATGTGTGTCTATACATGCTGCACCTGAGATTACACTGTCACCACCTTCGCATTTCTATACTGTAGCCACAGGGACTGGAAATACATCCAGTACCAACACACTCATATCAACCACAGTTTTTAATTCTGCACCAACGTCCACTGAAAGCATAGCTGCTAAAGTCAATACTCAGCACAAGCCTCTACACTCCAAGCATGCGGGTCAAATAAATACAACTAATAACCAACAAATTAGCCCTAAATGCCCCACATTATCACTGGCCAGCAATGCATTCAACCAAATGCATAAATCAAAGTCACCTGCACACGTTTTACCCTCAGGTCCACCGCATGCTCTGCTTGAACATCATAAACTACAAGAAAAGGCATCCACAGTAGCTGCTAGCACATCTTTAGCTAAAATACCTTTTACTGACAGAGGAATAAGCTCAACTGGAATTCAAGCTTTTGCTAATCCACAGCATCCAGCTATACCGCATCTATATTTGAGCATTTTAAATTATAAAACTAATTCAGATCAAATTGCATGTGATGATAAGTCTGTGCCTGCACAAATAATTCACCCTAACTCTTCAAATTCTGAACCTCTGCTTCACGCTTGTACATCTTTCCTAGACACAACATCTAGTGCATCCAATCTCCTAGACTCGGAAGTTAAGGTGCCTGTGAGTACTACTTCCAGCTCTAGACTTGGATTTAACAGCACCCTGAACAAAAATATAGCTCTCAGGAACACAGCATTCAATTCGAAAAAATCTGCAACCCCAGCTGGCACGCATTTGTTTGCCTTGACAGAGAAACAAAATAATGTCTCTGTATCAAGTGCAAATTTGCTTCAATCAATAGGCACAGCACAGGTAGTTAGCTGTAATGAAGCCCCCGACAAAAGCAAACCTCAATGCACACTAGGACCAGACATCAGAACTCAAAGCAGTAACAAACCTGGTAAATGTGGTGTTGTTTGTCATCAGGAAAGCAACCTAGCACTTCCGCATGCATTATCTAAGCCTCAAATTGTGCCAAAAGATCATAACAGGGGCAGTGATGCTAGCACTAATCACCCTAAATCAACCAATAAACCCAGCGAGGAGTTGCATTCTGATAAAAGTAACTTCAGTGCTAATCTAACCAATGAATTAATTGTGCATGAGTCAAAAGACCATGAAAATTCAAATCCATCGCAGGTCGCAAACCTCCAGAATTACATTTCCCTAATTAAGTCAAACAGCTCTTGTCTGCAGGGTTTCATAAAAACGGAACAACAAAAGCCTGCACATAATCAAGGATGTGCAGAAACCGAACATGAGGGACACTGTGCAACATGCCCACCGGTAACAACAGCCCAGCAAAAGAATTCAAATGCAGAACGGTTTGCCTTGGGTGTATCAGCCAGTCATGCAAATGTTAAGCTTAAAACTGACGTAGTTAAAGAGACACATCCCATCAACTCAACACCCTCTATAACAGTGCAAACAAACTGTGGACCCATCACCTCAACTAGAAATGTCAAACCCATCATCAAATCCTCAGTCCAGCAAAACTCTGACACATTATTACCGCCACAAACACTCACACGTACCGAGCGTTCTTTCACTGCGCCAGCCCCATGCAGCAGTGAGAGAGAACCCCGTATGCACACAGGCCTTGATTGCAATTCCATATTGCTATCATCAACAAAGCCCTTGGCATCCTATCTCCGCCTCCAGTCTAAGAAAGTGGAGGCAATTGACAACCCCGCTCCTCCTCAGCCATGCCCAGAGGACACCAGCCTGGCTCACTCCCACCCAGCTGATGCAGCCCTGCTGCTGCCATCTTCCCCACAGTGCTGCAAATCAGCAGCCTTACAGCAGAGACTCGAGACTGTGGAGGCCAGCCTGGCAGCCAACAAGGACAGGATCACTACTCTGCTTAACATTATCCATGACCTAGAGACATGGCACGCTCCAACCAGTGGGTAAGTAAATGTGCGTGTGTGTCTGGGCTCTGAGTGTGTGTGGAAGTGTAATAAGGGATGTGTTGAGCTTTCTTTATCACTTCAGGATCATCAGTTTTTTACTTGAATATCTAATATTTAGTACAATAGAGCTTTACATATTTGTGAATGGCATATACTTAACATGCTTTGTTAGAGATGAGTTGTAAATACTTTGCTGTAATACTTTATATTCAGTCCAGTACAGGTACAGCAGCCAGAATCCTGTCTAGGAATTATTTTAAAAGCATTCCTGCTTCTGCTGATCTCTGGCTTTACAGTGAGTCATCACTTAGATTGGAAACACTCAGCAGCATTGAATATCAATGCAAACACCATTGTTTTTAGACTGAAAACAGTTGTGCATTTGTTAAATTTATAAACACATGTTTTACTCACCCACTGTTCAGTTAATTAGCTACTAATTACTGTATTGCCAAGGACAAAAATGATACAGAAAACCAGGATGTAGGATGTTTCTATCTATTACTGTACAAAAGCAAGGGTACAGTAACCAAAACAGGGTCAGTTTTTTTTTCAAAAGCACAGAGCTTCACGTGTTTCTCACATATTTCTCACATATATCCCCATTCTGTCCTATAACTAAAGTAAATAATAGGAAGAAAGATATTCCAGCATCTGCACTGGAAGACCTCAATGACATTTGAACCAAACGAGTTTCAGTCGTGTAAATAATTTCGCACACTGTGATTTAAGTTGCACAAATCAATTTGAAGGCAGTACTGCTAACATGTTATCAAGTCTGTTTCACAAACGTGCAAAAAATCTGATTCGAATTGTAGTTATGTGGCATTGCAACATTGTTGCAGGTTTGAAAAACAGGTCTGTGATTATGCTCCTGAGTATGATAGAAACCTACTTGGGCATTTCAGGGGGGCAGAGATTTATATAACCACGCAATTCTTCTGGGACAAATAACAGGAATTAAAACAGGCCTCTGGCAACGTGTCTCTGTCAATCATTCTCATTCAGTGTGCTGTGTTAATAAGCTGTGACTGTCTCTGAGGTCATGTTTTAGAAAAACCAACTCCTAATAACCTACTGATGTCTTACACGCTATGTTATATAGACTGAAAGTGTCTCAGATGGATACAGTGATAGGAAAGATGATTACACTGTAAATCTAAAAGGATGATTTGGTTAACACAAAAGGACGGGTTTATGGTTTATCATGACTTAAAAAGACATCATATACCTTAGTTGTTACATCAGCTGCATCGTTTATTTTTCTTTCATTAACAATAAGACACAATGATTCATGTAAGCTGCTGATAGTTGATAGGGTCATACATTAATTCATCCTTCCTTTTCCATTCAAGTTATGTTAGAATTCTTAATAGCTCATACTCTCTTGCACTGAAGGGTTACAGAGTTAAGCAGTTATTCACAATATTTGTGATATAAAATGTGCTTTATCTGTATTCCAGTCGGCGATCCCACAAAACAGGACAGGACTTCAAAGACTGCTCAACGTGTCAGAAAACTGCTTGTGTTGTATACAGGTGAGATGACAGTTGTGCCTACATGCAAAGTCTGAACACATAACTGATCAAATCTGCTGCAATGTACCATAAGAATGCTACAGTATAATTAATACACCTTCATTTTGCTACTTGCTTCCCTTTTGGTGTTCATTCGATAAAAGAGATGAAGAAACCAATTAAACCAAATCAACATGCATGGCATGCACAGTAACAGGAACACGTATCAGTTTATTCAAGGACAAAGTCGGACAACAGATTTACAGTTTCAGGCACACAGTTCAGTTCATGGGTCAGCACCTTTGCCATTGCAGCTGCCAGTTCTTGGCCAGTCTGTTCTCTTCATTTCTCTAAAAATTAATGACTTACTGTCATTAGCAAGCAGTTTCTTGCTCAGAAGTAACAGAAGGATTATATTTTCCTGTCAGAGAACACGATAAATCTTATGGAAAAACTGCCAAATTTAGGCACTTGCTTTATGTAGCATAGTCTATTTGGAAATGTAAGCAGGCAGACAGAACTGAGTCAGGTCCAAGCAGCCTACAAAACTGATTTATACTGATTTATGAAGTCAAAATTTGCATTGTCAGTTGGATTGTAGACTAATTGATGTTATGCTGTATTAAAATGAAATGTTTTAGAAGATTCGATGACTCGTAGGAAGCAGGAGAATATATCAAAAGTAGTTATTGCAAACTGAGCTATTACTGTCTTAGTTTTCATGACAGCAATTCAGCAGTAGCGGTTGCATTTCAGTGCATTGCAAACTTTATTAAAGAAAGCAGTGAAAGGAATTGTTTGTCTGCTGTCTGAGAAGAGCTTTCGCATCCCTTGCCTGTAAGACTTATCATGGAATATTGGTTAGTTCTCATATTCCAACACTGGTATAGTTTGCACCTAATAACTAAAATGTTGCATCAGGTGGAAGCAATGGAGAATAAAAAATATTACTAAGTGGGCTGAGGAAAATCTAAAATTCTTCTCATCATCTTTTCGGAAAACAAAAACGCCTCAAGCTCGAGAAAGCAAAACCTTAAATTGTCTTCATCGTGAAATATTCAAAACATTCCTGTTGATCTCCTTATTTTCCAAAACCCCTTTTGTATGACAAAAAGAGTGTTACATAAGTTGATTTGCTGACCAGTGTGTGTGCGCGTGTGTGTGGAGTGTGTGTGTGGAGTGTGTGTGTGGGCATCTGGTCCTTAAAAGGCCAAGTGGGAAGATAAGAATATTTAAACCAGACTTGTGTACCCTCCAAAAAAAGAGGATATCCTGCTGGGAAATGTCTACTTGCCCAAACCAATCAGCCACTTTGAAACCTGACAAGTGCAGCGCTTCCCACATGAGGAGACCACACAAAGCAAAGTGAAATGTAGCAACACAGTTTATAGTGATTTTGAGGCATGAAAAGCTTTTGCATTATGTAAAAATGAGCTGGAAATGCAGATACGACACACTAAAACATTCATTTGCATCTTCGGAGAAAGCTTTCAGGTTTGACACACTTTTTGTTTTTTGTAATGTGTGTTTTCTTCAGGTGGAGAATAACTAATTTGGGGCTGTGTGTGTGTCTCTCCAGTGTAGAGTATGACTTCAGGCAGCAGGAAAGACGCTTCTTGGAGGTTCTGAATCGTTCAACTGCGCACCTATCCCAGCCTTTAACCTTCAGCCTGCTCCAAAATGTCGTCATTAAGAACTTAACAAAGACAAAGCTGAAAAGCAAAAAGCTGTGCAAGACTCTGTTCAAATGGCTTCCAAGAAAAACTCACAAAGTCTAGAACTCTTTTCAGTACCTGTGTGCAATTTAATAGCCATTATCCTGTGTTACAAGTGACCAGCAGAAGCCTTTTGCAGAGAACTCTTACTATTCCCTTTCTTCCTGTGGAATGAGATTGCTTTGAATTATGTTCTTCCCAAGTAAAGTTCCACTCTTCTGCACACTGTCAAAGCCTATATGAAGGATTTTCTCAAATTTGAACCTGATCTTTGTGACCTTCAACTAGTACCATCCATAAGAAATGTATTTTCACTTTTTCTCAAGTTAAATATGTTTTCTTGTCAATATGCTTGCATTAAAATGTAGATTTCTGTATCTAATTTTGTACATGAGATTCTGTTCTGTTTGCACTGTTATAATTAAAGCATTTGATTCTATATTCCCTGTTTTAAATGTCGCTTAATGTCGCTTTACCTTTTAATTACCGTTAAGTAGTTTGATATAACCTCTGTTTATTTGTCTATAAATTAGTTAATTTGATTCATTCTAATTGCTAAACTGTTTTTGGTCATTTATGAATGAAATAAAGATTTTTTTTCACTTAGGACATGTACGTTCAATGCATCTAAACCTTTTCACAACTGCAAACTGGCCACAAGGGTGCACAAAATACAGAAGCATTCATTATGCCTTTGCCAATTGTGCTGATGGTCTCCAAATCCCCGAACAATCTGAACTTCATAAAAGGTCTCTGAGTAAAACAATGAAATGACGAAAGGCTGCAATGAAGCATGCACACACCCATGAGCACACTCATGGACACACACTTATGGACATAAAAAGCAAACTAGCAACGTGAAACAGACCCTTGTAGTTTCATAGAACTGTTCATAAAGTGTGAGGGGAATTTTGGATGAAAGCTTGTGAATAAGAGTGCGTGCAACTTTTATTTGAGCAGTATGTCAAACAAAGATTGTGATATTACCTTCTTAGCAGGCGATACTCGGGATTTAATTAAAAACCCCTCTAAGAAGAAATAAAGCACACTGAAAATGAAAGTCGTGTAACACTGTTACAAGGAATGAGGGCTCAAAGCACCTCTGAAAGCCTTGAAGCCTCGTACGAGTAGCCCTGTTCAGTACATTTAAATGTAAGTAATGCGACATGCAAAGGTGCAATTTTCACTTAAAGTCCCAAAAATTCTGCATTGACTTTTAGGTGCAGACTTAAAAATGCATAAAGGTATAAAATACTAAATATATAAATAAAATATATGATTGTCCAAAACACCCTAAGGCAACTGTTGTTGTGATTTGATGCTATATGAAAAATATATACATACACTGGTCAAGATCACTGTTCCATGTAATCACATTTTATGTGGCCAGAGACCAGCCTAAGAAGTTACTTTTACAAATAGCTCTTTCAAACTATATATTTGCGCATGTATCCTTCATCATTTATTTCTCATTATGTCTGGCTCCTCCACCACTGCTGTCTTGCTTCCCTCAGTTCTACCTCCTCAGCTCAAGTTTCATCTTCAGGGCTTTAACACAGCAATTAGACATGTGGCCCTCTCTCATCTCGGGACATCTGACAATAAGCCAGCTAAACAACAACAACGGCTGGTTATAAGCTAACATTATTGGAGCTAGTGGTAGGCTTTCCTAAAAACGCACTTTAGCTCTAAACATCTTGATTACATTGTCATCTGGTATGAGAACGTGGTCGGTAAGTGACTGAACTGATTTTTTTTGGAGCCTTTTCTTTAGCCTTTTTTCCCCTGCATGTTGATAGCGTAATATGCTGAAATCCTCACATAGCTGCTGACTGTCAGGTTGGATTGTAGGTACAAGCTGTGCAGGAGGAGAACTTTTCAGAATTCATGTCAGTTATGAAGAAAGCTCCTGTGTGAGTCTGTACTATGTCAGTGCTTTAATGTAATGAGACACTTTGGAGAGTTTGTATTTCTGAATGTTTGTATTTCTCCATGAGCCAGTTCAGCAAAATTAAGTTAAACTTAAGTCAAATGTAATACGTGATTTGATTCATTTCAAAGAGAGATTTGTACTTAAATTTACTATACACAAAAGAAGTTTATAAACTTTGGCTAATAGAAATTGTGCAGGAGCATTCTGCTGAGTTTGTGTACTTATCTGGGGCCTGCTAATTTTGAAAAGTGGTACTGCTGAATAATATTGCAGCCACAGTCCACGCCCTAGAAGACAAGAGGAATGGGTCCATAAAATAAATTTAAACAGGGCAGACCACATATTACATTTTTATTGATATCCACATCAGAGATTATCTTTCACTGTGAATTAAACCAGTGTCATCTATGTGCAAATTCAAGTGCTACATTTTAAAGCGGTTCGACAAGTAGTTCTACAGTGTCATTTCCAACCTTTACTGTGCTTGTAAATCAACTAGTGTAACTCACAAAGAGGCAAAGAAAAACAATTTAACGTGTCTCATAGACAATCACTGCAAAAAATATGACTGTTGCTGCTTTTGAAGTGGGTAGAGCTGGAAGCAGATATTTGGGGGAAAAAAAATCATCAATGCTAAAATGTCTGCTGTACTTAAAGCATACATATCTGAGGAACTGCACAAATAAAGTCTTTAAGTAATTCTTTAAGAAGCCATTTTCTATTTAAGTGGAGATTGTTTATCTAAACCCCCGTGCTTTTATGCATTTAAAACAGCATTTATCTTCATTTGCTTTCCCACAGTCAGGAGTTTAGTTTCCAAACATTTCTGTGAGCCATTTTCACCAGATTCCCCAATCATATTATACTTTGTCAGCGTCATTTCAGTTTTTAATATATGCTTCCTTCTTTTGAATTTTAATAGAAGTTTTTTGTGGATTTTTTTGTAACTCGCCTTGATACGCTGATTTTCAACAATATTCCCACATTTGTAAGAGGATAGTCAGAGCTACAAAACGTAGCTTGTAAACCACAGAAATATATAATAACACACAGCTTACATTCGTTGCAGTATATGCATATGTATACATATTTTTTGTATATGTATACATGCATATGTATACATATGCATATAAAAATCATTTTGCTGCACATAATCAAATAATAGAAACCGGGTTTACATATAAAGTGCTAATTGACCTTTTATACAGTGGGGCAAAAAAGTATTTAGTCAGCCACCGATTGTTCAAGTTCCCCCACTTAAAATGATGACAGAGGTCAGTAATTTGCACCAGAGGTACACTTCAACTGTGAGAGACAGAATGTGAAAAAAAAATCCATGAATTCACATGGTAGGATTTGTAAAGAATTTATTCGTAAATTAGGGTGGAAAATAAGTATTTGGTCACCTCAAACAAGGAAAATCTCTGGCTCTCACAGACCTGTAACGTCTTCTGTAAGAAGCTTTTCTGTCCCCCACTCGTTACCTGTATGAATGGCACCTGTTTGAACTCATCATCTGTATAAAAGACACCTGTCCACAGCCTCAAACAGTCAGACCCCAAACGCCGCCATGGCCGAGACCAAAGAGCTTTCGAAGGACACCAGGAAAAGTATTATAGACCTGCACCAGACTGGGAAGAGTGAATCTACAATAGGCAAGCAGGTTGGTGTGAAAAAATCAACTGTGGGAGCAATCATCAGAAAATGGAAGACATACAAGACCACTGATAATCTCCCTCGATCTGGGGCTCCACGCAAGATCTCATCCCGTGGGGTCAGAATGATCATGAGAACAGTGAGCAAAGATCCCAGAACCACACGGGGGGACCTGGTGAATGACCTGCAGAGAGCTGGGACCAAAGTAACAAAGGTCACCATCAGTAACACACTACAACGGCAGGGAATCAAATCCCGCGGTGCCAGACGTGTTCCGCTGCTGAAGCCAGTGCATGTCCAGGCCCGTCTGAAGTTTGCCAGAGAGCACATGGATGATACAGCAGAGGATTGGGAGAATGTCATGTGGTCAGATGAAACCAAAGTAGAACTTTTTGGTATAAACTCAACTCGTCGTGTTTGGAGGAAGAAGAATACTGAGTTGCATCCCAAGAACACCATACCTACTGTGAAGCATGGGGGTGGAAACATCATGCTATGGGGCTGTTTTTCTGCCAAGGGGACAGGACGACTGATCCGTGTTAAGGACAGAATGAATGGGGCCATGTATCGTGAGATTTTGAGCCAAAACCTCCTTCCATCAGTGAGAACTTTGAAGATGAAACGAGGCTGGGTCTTCCAACATGACAATGATCCAAAACACACCGCCCGGGCAACAAAGGAGTGGCTCCGTAAGAAGCATTTGAAAGTCCTGGAGTGGCCTAGCCAGTCTCCAGACCTCAACCTCATAGAAAATCTGTGGCGGGAGTTGAAAGTCCGTGTTGCTCGGCGACAGCCCCAAAACATCACTGCTCTCGAGAAGATCTGCATGGAGGAATGGGCCAAAATACCAGCTACTGTGTGTGCAAACCTGGTAAAGACCTATAGTAAACGTTTGACCTCTGTTATTGCCAACAAAGGTTATGTTACAAAGTATTGAGTTGTATTTTTGTTATTGACCAAATACTTATTTTCCACCCTGATTTACGAATAAATTCTTTACAAATCCTACCATGTGAATTCATGGATTTTTTTTTCACATTCTGTCTCTCACAGTTGAAGTGTACCTCTGGTGCAAATTACTGACCTCTGTCATCATTTTAGGTGGGGGAACTTGCACAATCGGTGGCTGACTAAATACTTTTTTGCCCCACTGTAGTTGCTACAATACTAAAAAAAAGTCCGCCACCTTCAGTCTGCATCATATAATAGATGATATTACCTCCAAATCAGATTACTGCCTTCCAGGTGAAGTATTACAACACTGCAGCTGGTCTGCAGGTCCATGCATCCCTCAGCCACTTCATTATTTTGGTTCAATGGTCCATCTGGATTAGGTCCAGTGACTTCCATCAGCCCTAGCATTAAAGAAAAAAAAAGCTAAGGGTAGCAGCCAGCTCACAGGCTCAGATAAGTTACACTGTATACTGTAGACTATACCTGTGCATTGAACAGCAGATTAAGTGATTTTACAACTGGTAAATAATGTTGATCATATATTAAGCCCTACCCTCCCAAGAGCTATGGCAATAGAATATACTTATATCTGACAAGAACAGGGACTGGATTGTGTAGATGAATAATACTGTAGTCCAAAAAGTTAATATAGGATTAAAGGGAACTGGTAACAATATAGGTTTCCACCTTGTGTCAAATGGGGCCAAAGTAATTATTTTCACTGTACCCAGGCAATGATCACTGTATGAGATGCATTGCTTAACGGTCTACACAATCAAGTAAGGTAAAAGATTCCTGGTTCGACCCAAAGAGGAGTAAATCTCTTCCTATAAATCCATGTGTTTGTCATGAATCGCTGTGCGGCAGGCAGGAGTTGGACCCAAAGTGCAGGACTCAC